CAACCTTTCCCCTACAAATTAAAACAAATAAAATAAAGCAATGACACACACACACACATTCATAAAAGAAAAAAACAAAACCAATTAAGTAACAAAATTTCTCCTATCCTCACCCTTAGATCCAAGATATTGGGGAGACATTATTTTTGTGGCCTTAAAATATTTCATGCTTTATTGTAAATTAACTTTCTTATAATTATTTATTCACTTATAAATGGCTTTGTATTTCATATGCAATTTTAACTTGTGCACTCTTTGACCATGAAGAGAATGGCAATTGGTGTAAGACAGGGGCTTGGACAGAAGTATTTTTCTGGTAATCTTTAAATCATACAATGTAGATTAATTTTTCCTCCTTTTTGTCAGTCTGAAAAGTGTTTTCCTGTCACAGTCTTCAAGATTTCTCTCTGCTTTGGATGCAGTCTTCCTCTAGACAAAGATTGTCTATGTAGTTTAATTGTTCAGATAGTAGATAATTAGTATTTGCTACTGCCTGGAAAGCTTAAAGGGACTGTATGCTCATAATAATAGTTTTCTCCTTATTTTAGTAAGAAAGATGCTCACAATCCTGATTCATTTGTAATTATGAGCTTTATAACTATCTCTCAAATGAAATAAAAAATCTTATATTGTTTATTAAGAAGTTCTGGTGATCTAATACAGAGCTCTGGTGCCATAGTGGATAAGGCATTTGGCTGCTACCCAGAAGGTCAGTGGTTCAAACCCACCAGCCACTCCACAGATGGAAGATGGGCAATCTTCTTCCATAAAGATTTACAGTCTTGGAAACCCAATGGGGGTCTCAATGAGTCACATTCTACTTGATGGCAGTGAATTTTGGTTTGGGTAGTCTAGTGATTAAGGCATTTGCTTACTAACCAAAAGGTTGGTAGTTCAAACCTACCAGCTGCTCTGTGGAAGAAAGATGAAACAGTTGCTTCTGTAAAGATTTACAGCTTTGGCAACCCAATGGGGGTTGCTATTAGTCAAAATTGACTCAATAGCTGTGAGTTTTATATTGTATATTGAGTATAATGTGCACATCACAGGACACACATTTCCTTTAATGAATATATGGCTATTTCACACAGTTTGTAAAAAGTTATTGGGATACTTTTGGTATTTTTTCTCCACTTCTAAGCATTCATTTGTATTTTAAATATGGTTATTTTGGCTCAAATTCTTTGGTTTCATTTCACATGAAAAATCCATTATTCAGAGTTTCTTAGGTATGCTGCACTTAGATTTAAGTGATTGTAATATTGGGGCACAAATTAATTTATGATTGTAAAAATATAAAACATTCATTGTGGGGAATACTTTCCGTTGCTAACAAAAATTATTTTAAATTTTTATTTTATATTTCAGAACATATTTGGTAAATAGTAATAATAATAGCTTATTGTCATGTACATTGAATTTTTACTTAATTTGCCTTGAAAGTTGAATTAAATTGTTTCTATTATGTTATTTCTTGGTAACTATTACTAGAATTCAATTTTCTACTTTTATATTTTTTTCAGTTGCCAACCGTTTAATGTCTTTGAAACTTTCCTCATATTTGTTCTTTCTCTCTAGCCACATAGTTCCCCTTATTGCTGAGTGGATTAGCTAAAGACATGAAATAACATTTTTGAGATAATAGTTGAACAGTATTCTGGAACAACAACAAAATCCGATTATTTGTTCAGTACTTCCTACCAACTCCATTCAATGAGACAGCTCAGGTCAAGTGGGCAGAGAGTCCGAGAAAATCCACAGTCCTGGCAGTCCATCAGGGTCTGCCTAATAAGATGCTTAGAAATAGAAGGTAGCTTATGCCATGACTAGTTCAAAGAATTCTGCAAGCTAAGATTAATGTCGGGTCTTTTCACTGCCTGAGATGATTAAAGAATCTGTAAGTCAGTTTCTCTCATTGATTGCCAGGCTATGCAAAGAACCAACACACCTAAGGTCAACTCAGCCATCATCTATTAGGCCACCTCATTTTCTTTGAATCCATAGAATCTCATGAATAGAAAAAAAGTATGATCTCACAAATAATCTTTGAGGCTAGATCTATAGTTTTAAAGTATGCTATATTATATCCTATTCAATTATATTAAAATTCTACAGATGTGCACTGAAGGGTATACTGTATTTGCCTTTAGCTAGAGAAAGGACCAAATTTTCAAAAACGCCTGACTAGACAATTACTGCATGCTGTGCTTGGAAGGTTGCTTCAGCCACCTGTCACAATGCTGAAATTTTATCATTAGAGATCCATTTCTCTGGAGGAGCTTGGAGTAGGCTATACAGACAATTGTCCTGTAAAATTCAGAGGGCTCTGATTACATACATGAGCACTGTTATCTGATTTATTATGTGATGCAACTTCTAGCTGAAGTTTTGACTTTAAAAATGAAAGTATGCTCAAATTAGAGTACAGGGCAAGGTCTTGATCACGGGTCATGGATAGAGTACATTAGTTGAAATAGCTAAGGTTATTCCAGATAATATTTCCCCAATTTATTTTGTTAAGCAATATTTGTTTGTCTCTGACTTGAACTTTTCTATTTTCCCCATTAAAAAACCTTTCTATAGCGTTCATCCACCCATAAACAAAACTATTAGGCTTTGTTCTAGGTGCTGGTATTGAGCAATGAACAAGCCAGACATAATCCCTGACCTCATTAGAGCTTATAGTCTGAAGTAGATGCAGGCAATTAATGGGAAATTGCAAAGGAGTGTGATAAGTGCCAAGATGAAATGCAAAGTGGCAGAGATAACATAGGAGAGAATTATCCCTGAATTTAGAGAAAGTGATGTCCAAGTTTCCAAGGTAAGAATCAGATGATAAATGTGAATTTGGGGGGGAGGGAGGAATTTGGAATGTGTTTCTTCCAGAGAAAAAGAACAGTATCTGTGAGGTTGAGAATCAAGAAGGGCATGGTTTATACTAGGAAATGAAAAACAAAACAGTTTTCTATAGTTGCAACAGAGATTAAAAGGTGTCAGCAGGGATGATAGTCTGAAGTGCCTTTTAAGTCATATTAAGGAATGTAGAATTTATCCTAAGGAAAATACTCACTGGAGCATTTTAAAAAGATAATCATAATTCCATTCTAGAAAGAATACACATTAGATGATTTGCAAGTAGGTTAAGGTGGGATATGATGCCAGTCAAGAGAAAGAGACTGGCACCAGATTTAAAGTAAAAGATGACAATGACCTGAACTAGAGTGATGGCAGTGGGAAGAGGACACAAAGGATGGAATAAAAAAATATTCAGAAAATAGAAGAAAGGATTGGGGATTGACTGACTTCTTAGAGGCAAAATGGTAAAGGACAAAAATAGAAGAATGAGAAACAATCCAGGATGATGCCCAATAAAGGCAGCAATTATTTGTATTTCAATGAAATAGGAAAAAAACAGAAGGAGTAAAGCAAATTGAAGAGGTCATCAGTAGGTGAGTAACTTACCTACCTACTGCCATTGAGTAGATTCTGACTCGTAGAGACCCCCATTGGGTTTCCGAGGAGATAAATCTTCATGGAAGTAGATTGCCCCATCTTCCTTC